ACGTACTGTAAAACCATTTATTTTCACTGACAACTAGTAGTTGCCCAAGGCTAAGCTCCCTCTGTGGCGACCTGTGGGTGTGAATATTATATATGCAACTCATTTCCAAATGGCAACCAAGCTCAGACGTAACAAAAACACAATCTAGAAGACGCATGATTTGAAGAAAAAAAAAGTTCAAATCTAAGAAACGAAAGGTTAATTAGTTAAACAACTTTGAAGTTTTAGCGGACTGGGGTTCATAAATACTCCTGCTTTGTCATAGCGGAAACAAACAACATGTTAGTTTGCTGATAGCCGATAGAAGGGAATTTATTTTTGTGACGTTGATTGGTACACTCAGAAGCGCAATATCACGCGTGCAAATTTACCCCATGTGCAGGCATGTGCAGTTACTAACAGAGAAGCGATTATTAATCAGATTATTATAATCGTAGTTATTTAACACGTAATGAGGGGTCTGAAGGTTTGTAACAATTTTTCCATTTATTATTCAAGGCGAGGGTTATCATATTTTGTGCAATTGTGTGGAGTGTCAATGACAAGTTTTTTTTTTCGTATGTATGACTTTCCAAAAAACACCACCCCAGTTTCCAGGGCACGTTCTCCAGAGCGGAAACAGGGAGGGCATATTTATAGCTAGTACATATTCCTTTTCAGGTGAGCTCTCAAGTCCAGTGAAGCACATTAGTCTTGGTCTTCTTGTTATACAAAATGCGATTCTTATTTTGGTTATGCGGTACACCCTCAGCGTTGTCGATGGTCCAACATACCTTACATCTACCGCTGTTGTTCTCACGGAGGTTATCAAACTGACGACCTGCCTATTAATAGTTCTCTTGCAGTCTCAATTCCGTGTTGGTACATTCCTGTCTTACCTTTACAACACGATTATAGCTAATCCGATCGACACTTTGAAAGTGGTGTCTGTGCCAGCTCTAGCTTACACACTGCAGAATAATTTAATATATTCCGCGCTGTCTAATCTGAGCGTAACAACGTTTCATGTGAGTATCCTTCCATTTACATTGGTGAAGGAGCCATTATGTATCAACAATTGCGTTGGTTTTCTGTTTTACTATAATTATCTCTCCCTGATATAAAGAAGAAAAAAACATTTATCATGTGTGCAACAAGACAAAACAGAACGTTCAAAACAAGCCAAATTTGGACGCTGTGCCTCAATACAATTGTGTTATAAGTGTACTATTAAATGAAGGTTGTGTATGTATTTACAGTATGCAGATTACACATTAAGTAATTTGTGTGTTATACGGCCGCTACAAAGGATGTTAGGTCACACAAAAATTCAATTCACAAATAAAACCCATGTTACATTTTACGCGTTTTGCTCAAACAAATATCATGCAAATGACTTCATATAATCGAAAGATGGAGGATGAGTACACGGCCCCACCGTTGAACATAAAATATGACATCATAGCTCTCATATTCCCCTTCGCGTAGATCAGAAATCATTACGACAATACTAAAATGGCTGTCACTTCAGTAGTCATAAGCATGGAGCTACATGTGCAGTGTATGTCAGTGTACGCACCGAAACAAGCATACGTATTAGAAAATGTAATTTCTGCTACATGCTACATTCATATTTCATCTATAACATGTGTATGCATAATGTATGTATAATAATAATAATAATAATAATAATAATAATAATAATAATAATAATAATAATAATAATAATAATAATAATAATAATAATAATAATAATAATAATAATAATGTTTCACTTCGCATTATGAAACAATGACGTCGATATCTCGATATTTATTTATAATAGTTAATTTCTAGTAATTGAACTTTAAAAAAGCTTGACATTATTTTGTTACTACTGTATACTGAGGTAAGTTACTGAGGTTGGGACGACATTGGACCGCTGATTGTCACGATCTTATATTTGGTATCCCATTAGGTGGCGATGCAGCTGAAGATTTTGACAACTGTCCTGTTTTCTGTACTGATGTTAAAACGTACTCTCAGTCGTATGCAATATGTATCACTCGGCATTGCGTTTATTGGTGTAGCTATTGTACAGATGCAGCCTGGCGAGTCTAATGAAGCCAACGAGAAGCCTATAGATATGGAACAAAACTTTGTTTTGGGACTGTCTATCGTCGTCGTGTTGTGTTTTTCATCTGGGTTTGCGGCTGTTTATTTGGAGAAAATTCTGAAGGAAACGGCAGGATCTGTGTGGCTTAGAAATATACAACTTGGGATTTATGGGGTGTCGTTTAGTTTGGTTGCCATGTGGCTAAAAGACGGAGCAGAAGTAAGTGAAAAGGGGTTTTTCCACGGATATACTCCCCTGGTATTGGTTTGTTGCGTGTTGGCAAGCATTTGGAGGGCTGTTAGTTGCAATCGTAGTGAAATATGCAGATAATATTCTAAAAGTATTCGCAACATCCTTAGCCCTTTTGATTTCCACAGTATGTGCCGTGGTTTTGTTTGGTTTTCATATCACCATACATTTCAGTTTGGGAAGTGGATTAGTTTTAGCTGCTGTATATATGTACTGTCGTCCAGACGCACAATCCAAAACCCCCCAACAACAAATACCATAACCGTGCATTTCCGGAAGCAGCCACCGAAGAAAAAAAAACACCCCAATGATAACACTATTATTCCCATGCCCACATTTATACCTGAATCATACTGTCCCCATACCCACACCCGGGAAATACCTGTATCCATACATTTAAATGTAAGATACCGTACTTTTACCAATGACTATATCAATACAATGCAATTACATGTATCTATATCAGTACCCATACCCGTACAATACGTGTAAATGTGCGATATTCATACCCATACCTGTACCCGAACCAATCAGTATACAATTAATTATAAAACCTGGTTGTCTAGGCATACGACTGGAACGTGAAGGAAGCTCTCTACCTCTCCCTCTCCTCTCTCTCTCACTTCGCTCGATGTTCAAAAACATACTTTAATGGATCATATTTTATTCGCAGAACCGGGTTCAACCAGTATCATTGGTAAATAGTTAATTTTGAAACTCTAGACACCTAAACTTGATTCTACAATTTTTCTGAGCTAACAATGACCCGTCGTCAATTAGATGATACGCCGATTAATTATTTGAGAGGTGGTAACATACATCTAAGTTTACTTCAATAGTTCGGCCCACCAGTAAAAGTGTGTTGGTGTATAATGGACGACATCACACTTTTTTATGTGATGACTCATCTCAAATAGGACTGTACCATTTATGAATTGAAATATCTGAGAGATCACACGTGTATATGTACGACACCCGTTCACGTGTCTGTACCCCACGACCTGTGTTTATACGTGTCTGTACCCCACGACCTGTGTTCATACGTGTCTGTACCCCACGACCTGTGTTTATACGTGTCTGTACACACAACCTGTGTTTATACGTGTCTGTACACACAACCTGTGTTTATACGTGTATGTACACACAACCTGTGTTTATACGTGTCTGTACCCACAACCTGTGTTTATACGTGTCTGTACACACGACCTGTGTTTATACGTGTCTGTACGCACAACCTGTGTTTATACGTGTCTGTACCCACAACCTGTGTTCATACGTGGTTGTACACACAACGTGTGTTTATACGTGTCTGTACCCCGCGACCTGTGTTCATACGTGTCTGTACGCACAACCTGTGTTTATACGTGTCTGTGCCCACAACCTGTGTTTATACGTGTATGTACACACAACCTGTGTTTATACGTGTCTGTACCCCACGACCTGTGTTTATACGTGTCTGTACACACAACCTGTGTTTATACGT